AAGTGACGTGATGAAGTAAATGCATCATGCCTACTTTAGCTTAACCCAAATTAGTTGATTTTTTAGCAAGCCAAGTGCATATTCTTCACTTTGTAAACAAAGTACTAAGCTATTAATGGACCCTGTACTATAGCGAAAGAGGAAGAGAGACATGTAAATATCAGTGTTTTCAAGGGCCAAAAGTCTTAAATATCAATACTTAGTAAGCATTGTTGCAACCAGTGTTTTCAAAAACGTTTTTGGGGCGAGTCCCAGGGCGAGTTTCGGGTCGAGGCGTACCAAAAATGCTCTGGGGCGTAAATTAAAAACGTGGATCCATAAGGCGTAAGTCCTAAAATTTGAGGCGTAAGCCCTGAGCATAAAAACGTAAGTCCTGGGCGTAAAAACGTACTCCCTGGCGTTTTTTACTTCTTTTTTTAATTTTTTTCTTTAAATCATATTATTATTATTGATTAATGATATTTCTCAAATAATAATTTTAATCATTTTTTCTTCATTATTGAATATTAGTTCTTATCTCACATAAAAATCATAATTCATTATTACTTTTGCTTATTTTATTAGTAATAAAACTATAAAATTGAGTATACATGTGACTACGCCCCGTAGATCAATGAGACTTACGCCCCATGTCTCGATGCTTACGCCTCGCCCCATATTGTATAAAATGTTTCGACTCACGCCCTCGCCTTCTAATACTGGTTGCGACCTTGTCTTTTATTTTTGTCATTCCAGATTGTCTAAACAAAATAAGGGGGGATAGTTTTTCTTATCTTCTTGATACATTCGATTATGGTGTCACCCATTGATACCCTAATATATTGAAACTTTATTTTAGTAAATTGCATCCTCTCATTGAACTTGGTTGACCTCAAGAAGATTGCTTTTTTGATTTTGTTGTATCACAAATTGTGTTCCATTTTTGTATCAACATAAAATATTTTGTTCTATTTCTGTATCAAGATAAAATATTTCACCTTCTCAGCTTTTTGATAGTTGGACATTTTTGTGTAGCAACTTTGTTATACAAAAAAAAATTATGATTCCTCCTTTCCTTTTTAGTTGCCATCTTCTGCTTTTCAAGATAAAATATTTTGTTGCATATTTCAAGTATATATGTCACTCAAAGTCTGATTTTGAGTTCCAACACATTATTTCAGATGCTGCATTGATCCAATTAGCATCTTGTTTACTATCCCTAGACCGAGATCATAGATCGTCTTCTTTCTATTTTCAAAGCGACGATCGACACCTATCTAAGACAAACACTTTTCAAGCTGGCAAACCTAATTCTTTCAACTTTCTGATAGTTGAAATGGTCCTAAGGGAGTCTTTAAGTGCTTCAAATTTTCATTTTCTTAGTTTTTTTTGATTGTTGGATAATTTTATGTGGTTTCCTTATTGTACAAAAAAAAATCGTTGTTAGCAGAGATTGTAACTGGAGATGTATAATACAAAGACATTCAGTTAGCACTTCTTTACTTTGCTATGTTGGGAAAGCGCGACAACATATATCTCAATTTTGTTACAAGAACTCAATATAGTAGCTTCTTCAATATGATCAAGCAACATAGTTCGAAAATTGCTTGAGGTCATATTGATTCGACTGGTGTTGTATGAATGTTAAGTCCAATTAAGATAACGATGCTACTCTTCATTGTATATAAATCATATGTTATCAGAACGATCCAAACTCGAAAGACTTGATTCCTTTTCTGCCATTGATACCTCACATCTAGGGCTCAATGAATACGAATACATATACCAATGTATGTTGTAAACTCAATCAAGTAATCAGTATAAATTCTTGATCAATAGAAATAATCTTGGGTTTTCTTATTAGAGCTAAAAGTTGCTTCACCAGAGCCTCTGCTATGAAAGTCAACCTTATTGCCGGATTTGGGACTCTTGAAAGGACTAGCCACATTTAGCTCAAAAAACCAAAAACAATGAAATCGATGAGATAGTAACATTGCAGTAACTACAAGAATATAATATGACAATCAATTTGATAAAGATAAAAAATCACAACTATTAAACTTAATATACATAAAAAAGAAACAAGAGTACAATAACAACTAATGAAATGTAAGTTAATGAAAAACAAAAGTTCTAACATACAGAACATGATAATTATCAAAAACCAAATTTGATAAAACATCTTTCAGTTTCACTACCTTGAAACAACCACAAACTTTGGTTAAATACCCTACCTTCTGATCACATTCTTCATTATTGGTTAAATACCCTACCTTCTTGTCACATTCTTCATTATTGTATCAATAAATTATGTAATCCAGCTACTCATTAAATCCATAAAACTCCATTCCTCCAAGGAATCCACCCAAATTGACATTGTTCCCTTGGAGAAAAATAAGTGATTCCATGTTATTCTGAACATGAACAAAGTGAGAGATCCCTCAAATACAAAGATCTGCATTTCGTACACTATTTGGATCATAAGAAACCATATCATTCCTTCTAGTTGAAAACAAAACATCACCGTTGTTCCTAAATCCAAAGACTTTCTCCATACCTGTAACCAAATTTATATAGTACAATCTACTCCAAGATTCAAAATTTAATACTACTTTATCACCCATACTTCAAATGAAGCTCCATCTATCTCCCTCCCATAATTAACAACAAGTGATTCCTTAAACAACATAGTCGATCAATTTGTTGGAGTTACACTAGCTAAAGCATCCGACAACATAATATCCCCCAAACACGTCCTCCACTATACTAAAAGACATAACTAAACTCTGAATTTCAAAACCATTCGGAAACCACATCATACACAATCTAATGTACAACTCCATTAACAAAAGTCTGAGACCACATAACCTCCACCATGCAATGCTTAATATCACAACTCCTACCGCTCTCCTCTAAACCCCACTATTAATCAAATAAATTTCAATCTCAGGAAGACCATTATACCCTAACACAAGATTCATATGATGCACAAGTCTAACCAACTTATAGTTGTCAGTCTCAAGCAAATCAATAACAAATCCAAGAACAAACATATGAGGCGATTAAGGCTTAATTGAAGGCATATGTATACTTTTAAACTTTTGAAAAGAAGGGTTCCATCGAACAAGACTTTGTAACTCACCAAGAAATCATCATACAAACATACGATGCCATTGCAACTTCCAACAAGTTTGAAATACCCTTGTTTGCATTTGAAAGAAAAATTCAGTTTCAACGTAAAATTCAAGGAAAAGGGTCAATTTTTAGATTCTTGAAACAACGAATAGTGATCTCTTTTGCGAGTTGTAACGTAATTCCTAACAATAAAGTTGTTGGAATGTGGAGTTTCGGTGAGGGGAGAAGAGATGAAAGAAAAATTGGTGATGCATGAATGATATGATTTGCAGACAACTAGAATCGAATTAAGGATTTAACATGTAATTTCGGTAGGATCACTCTTAAAAATCCGAAAGCAAAGAAGGCACATTCAGAATCAATCACTGATCAATTTTGAGAGAAAGAGGGAGAAATAAGAGGAACACTAGTTGTGGAAGCCAATTTTGCATTTGAAAGAAAAATTCAGTTTCGATGTAAAATTCAAGGAAAAGGGTCAATTTTTAGATTCTTGAAACAACGAATAGTGCTCTCTTTTGCGAGTTCTAACATAATACCTAACAAGAAAGGTGTTGGAATGTGGAGTTTGTGCGAGGTGAGAAGATATGAAAGGAAAATTGGTGATGCATGAATGAAATGATTTGCAGACAACTGTGGATCGAATTAAGGATTTTACATGTAATTTCGGTAGGATTTCTCTTAAAAATCGGAAGCAAAGAAGGCACAGTCAGAATCAGTCACTGATCAATTTTGAGAGGAAGCGGGAGAAATAGGAAGAACACTAGTTTTGGAAGCCAATTTTTGTAAAATCTGCTTTAAATATTGGGATGTCAACGGGCCGGATATAACTTTTGAGGAGAGGGGGGGGGGGGGGGGGAGGGGGTGGAGGCGGGGCAAGGTAAGTTTAATTTCTATTTTAGTAAAAATCATGTGGTGTAGGGTGAGTTGCAGGTTTGGAATAAATGCTCAAATCACTAAGCTATTTATTTCACTTATCTACTGTTTAGGACCTTTAGGCCAGAAAATCCAGCAATCATATACTTACCAGATTAACCTTTTATTTGTGTTTTATTAGCTTAATCCTATAACTTATTCTTAATGAATCAGTACTTATGTTTTTTTTTCCTTGTGTTATGTTAAGTCAGAATCCATTGTTTACCTATTCTTGGGGATTGCTTCAAGTCTTATATTCAAATATGGGTGAATTTATAGAGTTATTATGTTGTAAGTTAAGGTTGGATGAGGATTAATGTATGTCATTTATGATTTATGACCTAGAGCCCTCCATCATAATTTTATTACAAGTTTAATTTTAATTATGACAATTGATTGGAAAACATGGTTTCCTCCTCAAATGATAGTTGAACATCTAATATTTTCAAACTTTGATTCTTTAGTACTAATTGTTCTTTTGTAATTTGTGTTAGCCCCTAAATACTTGTAACTCAGTTTTAATAATGAAAAATAATTCTTTCCTCAAGAAGCACATATGTGAAATTCACCCAAGTACAAGACGGAAAGAAGCAATCACTTTTAACGAGGGGAAATTTGGTCGCTGAAAAATCATATTTCGGTCGTTATTAACATATAACAACAGAAAAATAATGTCGTCACCAGTCGTTAAAAGCTTTGTGGTTAAAAGTTAACCACCGGATTCCATGTTCGGGCGTTAAAAATCTTTAGCGACAAGAAAAAATCTGGTCGCTTTATGTAATTTTTGGCGACGAAAATTTCCTTTCACTAATTAACATGTCGGTCGTTAATAACATTAGATTACAGAGGTAAATATGTTCCTTATCAGTTCTTTTAGTGAAACAATATTATATTTTTGAATTGTTTGCAAGTTCCAACTCAGTCTAATTATTACATGATTATTATTGTAAATATGTATACAAAGCACATTAAAATTTTACGAGAAATATTATTTCATATAAAGATTCATAGAAAATTCCAAAGAACTAAATTATTATATCATCAAAAGTATATCTGTCAACTTTATAACATTTATTAAAAACATAAAATACAAAAATAGGTAGCAATGGAAACATATTTAGCAACTCTTGATAAAAATATACAATTGTATCGCTAGTCTTCCACTTGTTCTTCAATACTTTTAGTTGTTAGACTTGCTGATCTGCACTTTATTTGTGGATAGATTCTTAAGACTCCAAATTTTGTTATCTGTAAAAAGAAAAAGTACATGTTAGTTTAGTAACAGATGCTAGTTTTTTTCTACAAAATCAAAATGAATCAATAAAAAAATAAATACAACTTTACGAGCTATTTAATTAAATTTATTGGACAAGAGAACTTAATTTAGTTGAATGGAACTGTCCAAAGAGAGTTTGTCTCTTCTTTTTTGAATAAGAAAAATTCAATTTGAATATTGAAGTCTGGACTTATCACAACAAAAGGTATGCAATAAGAAGTAAACAATTACATAAATAGGAAGTCGCACTAGTTATACATCCCTGTCATTTGATTTTTCTTATATTGTATTCATACCTAAGGAATATAAGAGGGGTATCGGAAGTTATAATTGTACCACAAATTACAAGTGCAAGTATTTCAGATTAGAGACAATCTTCCTGTTTATATGGCTACATCATGATTATCATATACGCTAATGCCTCACTTTTTATCAACACTATACCATTTTAGGTCTATGGCAACACTAAATTTGGACAACGCTTATAAAGTGTTGCCTTAAATACTTTTGGAAACGCTTTTAAAGTCTAGCCAAAGATTTTGACTTTTTGCTACACTAATATTAGCAACACTTCTAAAGTGTACTCTTTAATGGGATAACCTACACTTTATTAGGCCAAAAAAAAATATTAAAGAAGTATAAAAAAGAATATAACATTAAAGAAATAAAAAAGGCAACATTTTCCTATAACTTCAGCTGAAGCTTCCATTTTCAATTGAAGAACACCATTTGCAAGAACTCAAGAAGAGGATTGAAGAACGGAAGAAATCGATTTTTACTACGATTTTCGTCACATTTCTGTCAAACTTCAACTGAAGAACACCATTTTCAGCTGAAAGATCGAAGAGCGCTGCGATTTCTCTGATGATGAACTGAAGAAGACGATTTTCCTCTCAGAGCTTCGTTGTTCAAGATTAGAGAGCCGAAGAAGACGATTTTCTTCAAAGATTCATGGGTAAAACTGTTGTTCCATCAGATTTCCTTTTGAAAATTGAAAGAAAATGTTTCACAAATCAACTTGTCTCATATCTTAAAGCTTTAGGGTTGTTGGAATAGAGTTGATCAGGTAAGAGATTTTATCTTCAAAAGTCTAAATTATAGCTTTAAGATTTTGATATTTTTGTGTGTCAGTCAAAAATTTAAGTTAGGATTTTTATGTTCTTGTGTTGTTGATACGAATTTTGTTAATTTTGAGATATTAGTTTGTAGTTGTATTACGTATAAATGGGCAGATTATCTTTGACAGACTAATTTTTCTCTTGAATGTAGAAGTTGAAGTTAAGTCGCCTTTATCTGAAGAACTGAGTTGTAGCTAAGTCGTCTTTCTTCGAAGAACTGAAGTATTGAAGCTGGTGATACCTACGATATTTTCTCCCTAATATAGATTTCGTCAAGTGTAAGTAGCTACTCTACATGAATTTCAAAAGGTTTTAATATCTGTTTTAATGTTACTGTTTTTTTAGTCTTCCTGAGTTCATAGTTGTGCTCGCCTTAAGCTTGGTTTGTTCCTTTGTTAACCATATTGATTCTGTCTTGTAGCTGTTTGCTGGTAAAATTTTTCTTTTTTCGACTACATGTCTTGAAGTGTCTAGAAGTCATTTTGTTGTTTCTCTAGTGCATTTTCAAGTATACATCAGAAACTTTAGTTCAATATTACTTAGTTGTTTTGGGATCACCTCGTAGTATGAATTTGCTAAACTTGCTTTGTAGTTTGAGTTGCACTATATAGAAAACGAATCATATGCCTTAGAGATAGGAGATATAGGATAAATCTTTCAAGTCTAGAAGGGGTGTAGTAACTTGTGAGAGCGTTTTGCAAGAGCTGGACATTACCGTTATGACAAATAGAAAATTTCTTCCTATAAAGGGATCTATTAGCAAAATAATAGTAATAGACTTTAACTTTTGTGAACGGACAGTAAATAACTTCTTATTTTTTACAATAACAAGTAACTGTGTATGACAAGTTTGATTGGTGACCTAAAAAATACATTTTATTACTTTCTATAACTGGTAAAACTACATTGATCGCGTAACATGCTTTAATTGTTAATGTATATAACTTAACTCCTTAGTAAAACAGTTATTTCTACGTCTTTAATTGTTTTATTTATTTTTCTACTTTCAACTTGAGGATTATACTTTCTTTCTTTTCTGCTAACTATTAATAGCAATAACAGAATAGAAGTAGAAGATTTGTTTTTGTAGTAGGGACAACCTGTTGAGTTTTAGATATTGTTGAAAGTGAGGCTTACTTCGTCTAAGGCAACACTTTTAAGCGTGATCAATAACTCTGAAAAGGCATCGCTTTTAAGTGTAGTCTAATAAAAAATAGGTGTTGCGAATGCACGTCTTCAAAGCATGTCCTTATACCTATTTGGCTACGCTTTATAAGTGTAGCCAAAGATGACAACATTTAAAAAGTGTTGCCTAATGTCAAAGGTTACGTTGTCCAAAAGTGTAGCTTTTTATCAACATTATGAGAAGTTAAAGGAAGAGATATTAGTGCTAAATTGTTTAACTAATCTCATTTATAAGTTTGAACCGTTAAAAATATAGGGCACAATTTTACATAATAACAAAGAAGAGGTCCTATATTTTAAATGTCACTACCAACTATTATCAAGAAAGTATTTTACATATGAAAAGATCAAGTTCGCACATGAGAACAAAAGATAATCTACTTAAATGTAACTAAGAGTATATAAAAGTGTCTCTGTCTAACGACTTGAGATTAGTGATCAGTAGGCCACACAAAATTAAAGAACTTGCACCTTGTCTTTATTTGTTACACCCGAGACCCACAGAAATTGGTAAGAGAAAACTTGATGGTAGTCATGCTACAAAATATTTTCTTTATATTTCATTCACCAACTAAGGATTGAGAATAATCCTAGAAGAATGAGAAGATGCCAAGCTCTGCATAGCTTTAAGTTTGAAGAAAAAATGGTAGTTCTTATGAGGATAAAAAGTTTCAATAACTAAGTTGATGAGTTAATTATAAGAACTTCGTTGTTTAGTATAACTCAACAGCCACGTAGTTCTCTGATTCCTTTGTGCAGTATCATTGATATTATGTTGTCGTAGCTCAATGTTGATCATCTCTTTACGCATTGACTACAATTCTTTTTCTCCTCTTTTTTGGTTAAATATGAAACTAAATGTTCTCATATATAATGAGTATTAACCATGTCTTAATATTTTATACATATCCCAAATAAAGAGTGTCATGTTAGTTCACGTAGTCCTCGCAGAAATAGGATTCCCGTCAAGCATAGCTCCAATGTGTCCCATAGTTCTTGACATTATTAGTGGTTATATTGAGGGCGAAGATCTCCACCAGACTTCATAAAATAAGTAGTCTTTTGGTTGGGTGTTTGCAATTTTTTAATTTCTTTCACTCCAAATGCATAGTGAGTTTGCTCTCTCCATAACATTCTCTTTCGATGCCTAAACAATCTTACTCTTTTTTTATTTATCAATTATATGTTTTTTTAAACCATGCAACATACTAAATGTGTATGTGTAGAACAAAGGTTCTTCTATTTCATAGTACTATATTAGATACACTATAACATCAGAAATAAATATTTATTTCTTATCTAGTTCATGGGTTTAAAAAGCCTCCAATTGAAATAGAATTAGTCATCTTTCTCTTTAAATTCAAAAGCATCACTGCCTGTCACTTCGGGTGCAAAAAAAATACTTAGTTCATCTCTAGAATGGTAGAAAGGATTAACCAAATCATTCAATAATCACCACCTTTATTTTCAACCAAAGATACCACCAAATATCTTCTAAGCTTAATAACACAAGCAGATTAAAATATTAATAAAAACAAGCAGACAGAAAACCATATAAAAAGAACCCCACTTGGAACATAGTGAGGAAATTTATGATCAGACAAACTATGTGTTCCCCAACTGCAATTGATGGTTAAAACTGCAGAATTATAGCTAAATGAGCAGGAAATAAGAATGCTAGTTCATTTGGGCAACTACTGATGTCGATTTGTTGTCCAAACAGTTCAAAACTAAAACAGCTTACTTTGATGTAAAATGGTCGCGAAAACTGCAATAGATGAAAAAAATAAGAATACCATACCCATATCCAACGCACTGAACTAGGTTTTAGGGTAATCTCCAACCCTTAATCTCCATAGATGTAATTAAGATGCTTGCTTACTAGGGCCTTCATCGCCGATTGAGATTGCATCGGCTCCAAATCGACAAATTGAAAGAATTTTGGCAGAAACTCCATTCCATTTAACAAAACCTAATATATTTTTGGGATAAAAAGAGAGAATTTTGATGTTATGTTTCTCGGGTTTGGAGAAAATTGGGAAAAGGTAGCGGGCCTTTGTTTTTTAATCAATTACTTTATTTTAAGGACAACTTTCACATATAGCAAACAAAAAAATCATATTTGTATAATATAGCAAACTTTGCATAATTGCGTTCCATAGCAAACATAAAAACTGTATAATTCGCTATACATATAAAAATATATAATTCGCTGGCTAAATTGTATAATTCGCTGGGCTAAATTGTATAATTCGCTGGCCTATTTTGCTGCAATTATATAATTAGCTTTGCATACAGTTGAATCGAATTAAAATGTATGTATATTGCATAATTATAAGTGTATGGCAAGAAGATATATGTTTTTCTCGCTTTATACAAAAACAGAAACACAATATATACACTTCTGTTGTATAAAGCTAGAAAAAATTGTATTTCACTGCAATTATATAATTCACAATTGTATAATTCTTGGCATTTTTCTCTGCAATATTTGAAGTAAAATGTTTGTAAATTATATAATTAAGTGTATAACACGAATATATACATTTTTGCATGTGTATATACAATTTTCTCTCGCTTTATACAAAACAGAAACAGAAATTATACACTTCTGTGTATAAAGCGAGAGAGGCGAGAATGAGAGAGTGGCGAGCGAGACTTCTGGGAGAGAGACGCCTGGCAAATTTTTGCCAACGTTTGCTATGGAGCACAATTAAATCAAACCCTAACTATTCCATTTAATTTAGGTTATTAGTTTGCTATTTTATACAATTTTCCCTTATTTTAACGAGGGAATATTATTAATTTTAAGAAACATATATTATTCATTAATTAAAATTGAACAAAATAAATCATTAACAACCAGAAATAAAATTAGTCGTTATAAATACACTTATAACGACTGGATTCATTTTCCTTCGTAAAGTATTGGTCGCTAAAGGTCAAGTCGAAGAACAATTAATACCAAAGAATTAAGGAAAGAAACACGTGTGAAATTTTTATTATTAAAACTAATTTACAAGTATTTAGGGGCTAACACTAATAACAAAAGGACAATTAATACCTAATAATTAAAGTTAGAAAATATTAGACGTTTAACGATCATTTAAGGAGGAGACGAAGTTTTCCGATCAATTCCCATAATTGAAAATTTAACTTATAATAAAATAATGATGGAGAGCTCTAGTTCATAAATCATAAATGTCATATATTAATCCTGATCCAACCTTAACTTACCACATAATTACTCTATAAATTCACCTATATTTGAAAATAGACTTTGAAGTAATCCCCAAGAATAGCTAAATAGTGAATTCTCACTTACTATAACACAAGGTCAAAAGAAACATAATAACCAATTCTTTAATAATAAGTAATAAGATTAAGCTAATAAAACACAAATAAAGTGTTAATGCGGTAAGTATAAGATTGCTGAATTTTTTGGCCTAAAGGTTCTAAATAGAAGATAAGTTAAAGTAATAGCTTAGTGATTTTAGCATTTATCCCAAACCCGCAACCCGCACCCCACCCTGCACCGCATGCATGACTTTTATTAAAAAAATATCTAAACTTTTCCTGCCCCTCCTCGTCAGCCCTGTCAATCAAAAATTTTATATGCCCCAGCCCGTCGATCGACATCCCTATATTTAAAGCAAATCTCAACGAAATTGTGTTTCTTGTCTCTCCTTCTTTCTCTCAAAATTAAATGATTGATTCTGACTTTGCCTACTTTGGTTCCAAACTTTTGAGAGCTATCCTATTGAAACTGCTTGTTAAATCCTTAATTCAATCCACATTTGTCTGCATATCATGGCATTTCACACATAATGAATTTTTTCTTTCATCTCTGCTCACCTCGCCTAAATCCCACATTCCAACACCTTTCTTGTTAGGCTTTACATCATAACTCATAAAATAGAGCACTATACGTTATTTCAAGAATCGTCCATTTTCCTTTGATTTTATATTAGAAATGAATTTCCCTTTCAAATGCCAACAAGGGTATTTCAAAATTGTTGCCAATTGCAATGGCTTCATGTGTTTGCTTGGTGAATTGCGGAGTCTTGTTCCATGGAACTCTTCTATTCATACGTTTATTAGTATACTTATGTCTTCAATTAAGCCTCAATCACCTCATATGTTTGTTATTTGATTTGATGCTAATATTTCTAAAACTGTTGACTATAAGTTAGTTAGACTTATGTATCATATGAATATTGTGCTTGGATATAATGGACCTCATGAGATTGAAATTTATTCGATTAATAGTGGGGTTTGGAGGAGAGTGGCAGTATTTGAGATTAAGCATTGCATGGTGGAGGTTATGTGGTCTCATGCTTTTGTTAGTGAAGTTGTACATTGGATTGCGTATGGTGTGGTTCCGAATGATTGTGGAATAAAGAGTTTAATTATGTCTTTTAGTATAGCGGATGAGGTGTTTAGGGAGATTATGTTGCCAAATGCTTTAATTGGTGTAACTTTAACAAATATATCTGTTGTGTTGTTTGAGAAATCACTTGTTGTTTTTTATTATGGGAGGGAGATAGAGATGACACTTTATTTGAAGTATCAGTGATGAACCAGTATGGAGTTATGGAATCTTCGAGTACATTTTATTGTATATAAATTTTGTTGCTGGTATGGAGAAAGTTGTTGGATTTAGGAACAGACGACGACGTTTTGTTTTCAACTATGAGGAATGATTTGGTTTTTTATGATCCAAACAATGGACAAACTACATATCTTGGTATTCGAGGGATCTCTCACTTGTTTTATGTTCAAAATTATAGGAAATCACTTATTTTTCTCAAAGGGAACAATGTCAATTCAGGTGGGTTCTTCAAAGAAATAGAGGTTTATGAATTTAATGAGTAGCTGGACTACATAATTTATCTATACAATAATAAAGAATGTGACAAAAGATAGGGTATTTCACCAAAGTTCGTGGTTGTTTAGTGGAAGTGAAAGTTGTTTTTATCATATTTAATATTTGATAATTATAATGCTCTGCATATTGAACTCTTGTTTTCGATTTACTTGCATTACATTAATTGTTACTGTATTCCTGTTGCTATTTGATGTATTTTTAATTTAATTGTTGTGATTCCTTATCTTTATATCAGTTGATTTTCATATTATCTTCATGTAGTTACTGTGATGTTACTATCTGATCGATTTCATTGTTTTTATTTTTTGAGCTAAATATGGCTAATCCTTTGACAGTTTCCAAATCTAGCAGAATGGTGTTTTGTGTCTCGTCAATTGTACTAGTCTAACTATTTGGATGAATATGCAGTTATGCACATTATTACCATTTCATTGCTTCTAGTGTGATTTGATAATCATAATTTCCATATTTCTCTCTGATACCGAAAATAGTGTGGTGAAGTAAATGCATAATGCCTAATTTAGCTCAACCCACACTAATTGAACTTTTAGCAAGCCAAGTACATATTATTCACTTTGTAAACCAAGTATTACTGTATTGAGCTAGTAAATATCAATGTGGCAAAGGACCAAAAGTCTTATGGATCTATACTTAGTATGCATTGTCGCGACCTTGTATTCTATTTTTATCATTGTAGATTGACTAACCAAAACAAGCGGGGATAGTTCTCCTTATCTTCTTGATAGAATCCAGTATGGTGTCACCCATTTCTATATCAAGATAAAATATTATTTTTTGCATATTTTGAAGAATAGATGTTACAAAGTCAGATTCTTCCTTCCATAACATGATCTCATAGTTGCATTAAATTTCTTGTTGTTTTTAGAGAGATGATCATCACCTATGTTAGATAAGCATTTTCCAACCACAACAAACCTAATTCTTTCAGCTTTTTGATATGTGAAATGGTCTCAAGGGAGTCTTTAAGTTCTTCAGTTTCTTCCACTTTCTTAGCTTTTTGAGAGTTGGACATTTTTGTGTTGCAACTTTGTTGTACAACAAAAAATTATGATTCCACCTTTCCATTTTCGTTTTCATGTTGTGCTTTTAAAGATAAAATATTTTGTTGTATATTTTAAAGTATATATGTGTAGCTTTCAAAGTCCGATTTGATCACATGATTTTAGATGCTGCATTGATCCATGTAGCATCTTGTTTATTATCCCTAGACTGAGATCATACACCGTCTTCCTACTATTTTTCGAAGCGATCATCAGCACCTATCTTAGAGAAATTCAACCTCAGCAGACCTAATTCTTTCAGCTTTTTTATAGTTGAAATGGTCTCAAGGGAGTCTTTAAGATCTTTAAAAAAAATTCACTTTCTCAATTTTTTTGATATTTGGATAATTTATGTGGCTTCTTTATTGCACAATAAAAATCTTTGTTGGCGGAAATCTGTAACTGAAGATCTACTATACAAAGACATTTAGTTAGAACTTCTTTACTTTCTGGAAAGCGTGATAACATATATCTCAATTTTGTTACAAGTACTCAATATAGTAGCTTCTTCAATATGATTCAAGCAACATAGTTCAAAAATTGCTTGAGGCCATACTGCTTCGACTGGTGTTGTATGAATTTTAAGTCCAATTAACATAATGATACTACTCTTCTTTGTATATAGATATGATGTTTCAAAATGATCCAAACTCGAAAGACTTGATTCCTTTTCTGCCACTGATAACTCACATCTAAGGCTCAATGAATACGAATATATTTACCAATATATGTTGTATACTCAATCAAGTAATCAATATAAATTCTTGATTACTCTTGGGTTTCTTATTAGAGATAAAAGACACTTCACCAGGGCCTCTGCTATAAAAGTCAACCTTATTGCCGAATTCGGGACCCTTGAATGGATTAGTCATATTTAGCTTTAAAAAGTAAAAAAATGAAATCGATCATATAGTAACATCACAGTAACTACAAGAAGAGAATATGACAATCAACTGATAAATATAAGGAATTACAACAATTAAAATGAAAATACATCACAAAGAAATGGGAATATAGTAGCAACTAATGTAACGCAAGTAAATGGAAAACAAAATTTCAAATACTCAGAAAATTATAATTATCAAATACTAAATTTG